AAGAGAAGGGGAGAAGACACAGGGAGAAGGTGACGTGATGACAGAGGCAGAGACTGCGGTGATGCGTCTACCAGCCAAGAAACACCAGGAATGCCGGCAGTCACCAGAAGCCAGGAGAGACGCAGAGAAGGATTTTCCCTCAGAGCTTCTAGAAGAAACCAACCTTCCTGATGCCTGATTCAGACTTCTGGCCTCCAAAACTACGAGAGAATAAATCTGTGTTGTTTTAAGTCATCCAGTTTGTAGTAATTTGTTATGACAGCCCTAGGAAACCAATACAAATATCAATACCCACTAAGCTGAGTGACCTTGGGCAAGTGACTTAGCACCTGTATACCTCAGTCTTCTCAGCTGTAAAATACAGATTGTAATAATCTGATAGCATTGTTGCGAGGATTAACAAGTTAATGTATAGAGAGTGCTCTGAGCTGTGCTTTGCACATAGTAGGCACAATATACATTATCACTGTGTTTTTCATCATTGTCATCATCATCATCATGAATATACACATATAGATACTGAAAAGCATCTGGGCAATTTCTCTGAGTACTGAGACCAAAAATAATATTTACCCTTTTATTGTATTTCTCCGTGTTTTACAAATGATGTATAAGGAACATGCATCGGTTTTATAATCAGAAAGCATTTATTAATTTTAAATGGTCATTTTATTTATAGTGATGGAAGGCTGTATATCTGCAAGTTCGTCTTCAGATAGAAGGAGCTGTGCTGTTTGGCAGTGATGGAATATTTAACAACATGCACGCTAGCAGGAATCGCACAGCACTGGAGAAATAGCAATGTGATTATTAATACCTGAGAACTACAATGCACAAATTGCTAAAAGAAAGCTACTCTTTTGGAAGGTGAGAAACTTTGAAAAATTGCTTCCTGTTGCCTAGCACAAGGAAGCCTGATTTCTTGGTGTATGTGCTTCTCTTCCTACACTGATAGTACCACTATCATAACAGCATGAAACATCCAGATTTCATATTACAGTCTTTCTGTCCTTAGAGTTTATAAACTGCTATTCAGATATCTAGCTATTTTCACTATAAGCATTACACAGTACTTTAATTGACCCATTTCTCTTGTGAAAAACACTAGTTTTGTAATGAAGTACTTAGCCTGATACAATCACCCTTGAGTTAAGGACTATTAAGGATAAGAACGGAACACGACATAAAGCAGGTATAATAGGAGGGACATGGAGAAGGATGCTGACCAGCAATCGTGATGAGACGGAAAGGCACTGATGCTCACCTCCTCTCCAGGGATGAGAGAACTTGAAGCATTTCATCCTCTACCAAGTTGCCTCCCTGGCTCAACAACATGCAGGTGGGCGGCAAGTACTTTTTAATAATCACTGTGCAAAATACACCATCTGAAAATTATTGTTATCAGCGGGTACTTACGGTCAGGTGAAGTAGGTTGTATTTCAGCACAGTGGAAACTGAGGGGCTGCCAAGCTAATCTTCTTATTGAAGATCACCGTCCAAGTGAACTGAGGCTTATAACCCTTCCCTCCTTCAGGCAGGTGAGGACAGTTAACCTCATCACGTTTTAAACTTGAGTGTAGGGGCTGGCCGTTATTTCCTTTGCCAAGCATGGGCACCAGGTGTTTGCTGGGAGCCTGGGGTGGGGATGCACCTGTGGGTGTGCTGCTGGGGCAGGTCTCCCAGCGTCACTTCTGCATTGTGAGCCCTCCCCGGCCTCTTGTTTAAGCCTCTGGCGCCGTCCACCTGTTCCCCTTCTTGACTGCCACACCCATTCTTTCACTCTGGGCTTCTCACCACCTCTGGTCTCCAATGACTAGGATCAGTTCCCTACATTTCCCTCTCCCTGCCTGTTTCTAAGTGAATTTTTATCTAGTGATTTTTTTCCAAGTATCTACAAGCGGAACAGATAGGAGATTTAAAAAAATAAATAAATAGAGGGCAGGAGGGAGGGAGGGAAGGAGAGACAGAGACAGAGAGAACAAAGAACAAGATTAAAGCCCTAAGGTAGTACTCAGGAATGAGGCGTGGTGCTCTTCTCCATCTTCAATGCCCCATGGTTCTTATTTGATCTTCAAGGAGTTGGCCTTGTCCATCTTTGCCTTCCCCAGCATTCCCCCACCTCGCCTCTGTATCCCCTGGGTCCTCTGCCATGTTCCTGCTCATCTTCCCCTTGGCAGAGAGACCCTGCAGACCCAAACTGAGTTCTCAAAGGCTTGACAAGATCCATTCCATCTTGGAAGAAGCCTCTCCCTGTCCAGCCACCTCTGATTCCTCCTCCTGGTCCTCCCAACTCTGCCCTCTGCTGCCCCACCTCTTTCTTGGTTCTCCTTTCTCTTTCTGCCTCCTAAACGTAGACGGTTCACGGATTCTCAAGCTGCCTCTAGAACCTCCGTCTAAGTCTGCCTCTCAAACCTTTAATGTCTAGACTTGACTTCTCACTTGAGCTTCCGGCCTCTATATCCAGCCGACTCCAGGTATTTCCACAATGGGTTCCAACAGCAACTTAAACAAGATACATACAAACACTGAACTCATTATCCACTCCCCTGAGCTTGCCTCATGCCTCCTAAGTTCTCAATATTTGCTAAAGCATCACCACTCTCCTACCGACCAAGATGGAAACGACCACGTCATCTTGGACTTCTCCCTCCCTTGTACCACGCACACTCCAGATTCACTTGGCTCAGTCTCCACCATCTCTCCTGCATCTGCTCCTCACTCTCCCTTTCCTTCCAGCGTCTCAAGTCCAGCTTTCCTTGGGTGGGCCGCTGTGACAGTCTGTTAACTCCTCTGCCCATCTCCCCTCATAGGATTCAGCCAGAGCTTCCAGAATAACTTCCTAACAAAGGTCTCATCCCATTTGTTTGCTATTCAATGCCTTCTATGATTTAGCTTCTAATCCACTCTCTTGCTTTCCAACCTTATTCTATATGTACTCTTAGAGTATTTAAATAAGGAGGCTATTAGACTGAGGTGGCTCCAATACCTTGGTGGCCTACACAAGCACACCAAAACCTAAGCCAGAGTCAGTGCACTCGAATCTGAGAGAGTGAAACTTAAGAACAACCAGTCACAAACGGCCAACCAGGCTCTCCCAAATACAGCAGCCGCTGATGCTAGAACCAGTCAAATAATTTTTCTGCTTTGCTTCAGCATCTTCCCTGTAAAAACCTGTCCCCTAGCTCCTGTCGGTGGACTGCTCCTAACTGCTTTTAGTTTGATGCTGCCTGATTGGAATCGATGTGGCTCAGATAAACTCATAAAAAATTTAATGCACATCAGTTTACCTTTTAACAGTATCTTACACTCTTGGTTGCTGAAATCACTCAATATTCCTCATATGTGGCCTGTAATGTTGGCTTCTGTGCCTTTGCAGATGCTGTTCTTTCAGCCTGGAATGCCCTTCTCTCCCAGCCCAGCTTTCAATGTCCAAATCCTTCCTATCTTTAAAAATCACCACTGTCAAGATTCCCAAACCTCAGCAGCAAATGAGCTACCTGCCCACTGACCCACTGTAGCATTTTTATCTGTGTCTCTCTCATGGTTTTTTTTTTGTGTGTGTGAGGAAGATCAGCCCTGAGCTAACATCCATGCCAATCTTCCTCTTTTTGCTGAGGAAGACCAGCCCTGAGCTAACATCTATTGCCAATCCTTTTTTTTTTTCCCTTTTTCTCCCCAAAGCCCCAGTAGATAGCTGTATGTCATAGTGGCTCATCCTTCTAGTTGCTGTATGTGGGACGTGGCCTCAGTATGGCCCGACGAGCGGCGCATCAGTGCGCGCCTGGGATCCGAACCCGGGCCGCCAGTAGCAGAGCGCGCACTTAACCACTAAGCCACGGAGCCAGCCCTGCTGTGTCTCTCTTGTGACTCATGACATTCAAGCTTGTGTTACCTCCCCGACTGGGCACGTCTAGCAGGGGAAGGCCCCCATCTGATTCATCTCTGATTCTCCCACAGCACTCGGTGCTGAGGCCCCACGCCCAGGGAAGGCAGGTGTCTGCAATAACCAAATGAACAACAGTACACTCCTCTGAACACTCCCCTCCACCAGACCTCTACTAAGGACCATGAGAAATGCATAAGAAGACAACAACGTGGCTTCTGCTCTCCAGGAGCTTATAGCTCAATCATAGAGATGAGGCTAATATATACTAATAATAAAAAGCACTGAAAGACAAAGAACAAGATTACTGAGAATATATACTATACACAGTCTAAGAAGTCAGAAGAGAGGTTCCTGTTTATGAAACTAAATTGGATCATAGTCACAGGTCTATTTTGGATGGGTGAAAAGATGGGTACTCCAGGTGAAGGGAGTAATAGGATTAGGACAGGAAAGGCATGGGGAGAAGGGGCCCTAACATTCACCACACCCCGACTCATGCTAGGACCTGGGCTAAGTGCCTGGTATGCATTATTTCTTGTAATCCGTACAACAGTCCCGAAAAGCAGATAGATTCATTGGCAATTTTATAAGTAAGGAGGCTGAGGCTTGAGGGGATTAGTGACTGGCCAAGGTTACACAGGATTAGGCGGCAGAGCTGGGATCTGAAAAAGGCAGCCCGCTTCCATTGCACTCTGCTGTCTCCCGTAAGCAAAACACATAAATATGACGCGGTGTTTTCTTCAGGAGGGGGACTCTTTGTATAGATGAGTAATTCAAGCTGTAAAGCCATAAGCACAATGTGTAATACGTGCAGGGCTCAGCGTAAGTTAGCTGACTCTGCACGCGTGTCTGTCCATCTAGAAAGCGAAGCAAGAAGGCTCAGGAACAGACGAGCGTGCTCGGGGGAAATGGTCAAGGAGGGTAGCCCTGCAACTGGGGAGTGTCTCCAGACCAACAGAGAGTATGAAGAAGGAACACAGGCGAAAGAGTCTGGATCGGGATCACCCGCCCCAGTCTGCTTCAGTTACAAAGGAAGAAAAAAAAATCTCTATTGTAACGAGCATCCATCCTCGGGGGTGAGGAATAAGAGGGTAAACGATGGGAGGAAACGTACTTGGTCTCATTGGCGCATCGGATCCTGCAGCCTTCCTCGGGAATCACCAAGCCCAGGTGCATTCGGAGCCTGCAGTTTGTGGGCCCCGTGTGCGGCCACACGTGAGTTCCTGGGTGCATGACAGAATATTTGATCTGCGCAGAAAATATAATACACCGTTCATCCATTTATCAAGGTGTGGGGGAACTGCTGAATTAAAGTGACAGTACAAAATTACCGTCAATCTGGATTAGAGCCTTTATAAGACTCAGAATTTATATTCTCATTTTATTTCTTTGTGAAGGAACTAAAAATAAGGACTCCCATTCTTCACAAAACGATTTTCCACCCCTCAATTCTGACATCAAACACACAAAATTATGTTTCATTAAAAAAAAAGTGAAAAAAGAGGCATTCACTAGGACAAAGGAAATAACCATTTCTTTGTAAACGTCAGCATTCCCTTATTCCTAATAACTTATTGTGCACTTGCCAGCACTGAAACACTCTTGGTACCTGTCCTCTTCTGCATCCTGTTGTCTCGGGGAATTTATCTAGTAAAGAACACGTTTTAGGAGCTCCTTTACAGGCATTTTCATTTTTTCTTCCTAGAACAATAAATGATAAGCCATGTTAGAAATAAATCACAGAAAAGCTTGAACTCATCCCGTTTTGACCATATGTGATCTACATTGTCATCCTCACTGCAGGAACGAGAAGGCTGAGCAAACACAAGACAAAAGCGTCTTGCTCCACTAGACAGCGACTGGCAGAGACCAGCATTCTCCACTCAGTGTTGGACTATCTGACTAAAGATGTCTAATGGACAAGGCATGCGTCGAATACTCATTGTTGCCCCCGTGGCAGGCAGAATAATGGCCTGCTCCCAAGGATGTCCATCTCGTAAGCCCAGGAACCGATGAATATGTTATGTTACATGACAAGGGGAAATAAAGGTTGCAGATGACACTGAGATTTCTAATCAGCTGACCTTCAAATAAGGAGATTATCCTGGATTAACTAGATGGGACTGATGTAATCACAGTGGAAGAGGGAGGCAGAAGAGTCAGTGTCAGAGTGACACAGAATGAGAAAGACTTGACTGGCCATTGCTGGCTTTGAAGATAGGAAGGGACTAGGAAAAGCCAAGGAATGTGGGTGGACTCTAGAGGCTGGAGCCTCTGGAAGGAATGCAGCATGATGACACTCCGATTTTAGCCCGGTGACAACAACTGTAGGCTTCTGACCTCCAGGACCGTAAAGATAATAAATCTGCATCATTTTAAGCCACTAAGTTTGTGGTAATTTGTTACAGCAGCCACAGTAAACTCACACCCACAAAGGAAGGAAAATAGCTTACATTATATTTCTAACCTAAAAATGCATTTCTAAGACTATATTAAACATTCTTTTTAATTGGAATTTAATGTATTTTCAACATACAGATCATCCTTTACATGTTGACAAAGAAAAGGATTTAAATGAAGAGAGGAGGTCTTGGAGAGATGATGTTTTCTATGAGTGACTGTGTTAGGAACACAGATTTTGGGACATAGTCTTAAACTTCCTGGACTATGCAAATTTCTTCACCATCTACAGAATCACTGTTTCTTAGGGAAGATGTGCTCAGCACTGTACACAGCATCATTTGCTCTCATGGAGGAATAAAACAATGCAGGAAACAACAGGAATAAAACAAAATACATTTTAATTCCCTATTCCAGATTCCTACAAGGGGCTGCTACATCTAAAGCTGAGTTTAATTTTATTTAATTAATGTTAGTTGTGTTCTAAGATTATGATATACTGAGAATAAAATGAGTTACAAAGAATGTAACTTAAAGGTATTCTCCTCAGTCAAATGGACCTCAATATTTTAAAAAACAACTTTTATACCCATGTTATATTTTGCCTCTTGAGTAAAATGTTAGTTGCTGTTTTTAGCTATTAAATGGAGTACCCCAAATGAGTTGAATGATAAATGTCAGTTAGACCAAATATATTCCTGTATACGCCATCATAAAGCATTTTTAAGCCCTAGCTTCCCATGTCTTCCCACACGCAGGATCTGGGGATGGCTTGGTAGGAGTCCCCACTTCTGGGTTCTGTGCTGCTCAGTTAAGTGAAGCTTGGTGGCTTCAGGAGCAACCAAGCTCCCACAGGCACAGTGGTAAGGGCTGAGCACGTGCCACTTGGAGAACAGGTGTGTCTTCCCTAAATGATAGGCAATGGATTGTGTCACCAGATTGCCACTTGAACAGGACTGATTTAGAGAGCACCTCTAGCTATTTAGACACATAGATCTCTTCTAGTCTGTAAACACAGATTCTCTGTAAGGGAAAAAGCTGTGTAGTAGATGCTTGACATTTGTGAATTGCCATTGGTTGTTTTAACTATTTGCACGTGATCATGAGGATTTAAGAATGCAACAACAGTTCCATGGTGCTCACCATAGGCCAGGAACCACTCAACGTGCTTAGAGTGATGCATCTGATGCCCACAAGACCTGGTGAGGGAGGCGCTATTAGTGTTGTACTTTATAGAAGAGAAACTGAGGCACAGAGAGGTCGCCCGGTAAGTGGTAGAGGAAGAATTCCAGCCCTACTGAACACAGAGTCTATGTTCTTAACCATGACCTAAGACTGCCTCTCCATTACAGTTATTATTACACAATGGATGATTATTATGTAATAAAATGAATAAAATTCTTGTAGGCAAAAAGCTGACAGAGGCACTTGAAATCATGTGATCTCTCTTCTGATCGACGTATCCTTGAAACTATTACTGAAGCAGTTCTTTCTCTTATGTGTAAACCACTCTGAAGGCACACTGAGATACACAACTGTGCTTATTTGTCCTTGAATGTAAACGGGACTGCTTATCATCCTCTCCATTTATTTTGTGCAGCTAAAGTTGTGCGGTACGTGCTATTGAGTCTTCAAAATGGATTTACTTTTGTACAGTTATTGTTATCCCAGATTAACTTGATTTTTCAAGAAGAGAATTGTAAAGAGCCTTAAAGATAAAATTCGATACTCCTGATTTTGAGGATAGATTGAGATATTAATTCATTGAACACATACACTGGAGCCCTGTCTATGTGCTTGGGCCTGGGATCAGCTCAAGGATTATTAGGTTGAATATGAACCATTTCCTATTCTTGATGAGCTCAGACACTAGTTATTATTGTCTTGTCACTCTGGCGTGTTATCACTTCTAACAACTCTATCACTTCTAACACGCATTTCGGCATGCAACAGCATCTCCATTTTCCAGGAGCAAATGAGGCTCAGGGAATTCCTTTCTAAGGCATTGATAAGCACATGGACTTTTCAGTTACACCTATACAGTAGGCTTACTCTTTGTAACACACTGTTTAGCAGAAAAGACCATGAAATCAAAATGCTATATATATATATACTTATCCAAATACACATGTGAGTATACACACACACACACATGTTTACATGAGCACGCAAACAGACACACATACACACACAAATAAGTGTTCAAATGTAGTTTTAAAAAACAATGAATAGATTTTGATAATCTAGGTTTCCAAGCAATTTCCTTTAAGCCGGGAGTCCTGGCTCTGGAAACTATCACGAGAAGATTTGTGCCCACTTCCCAGCGGGCTGCAGAGAACAATCTAGAAGGCAGGAGCTCACCTTGCTGCCACAGTGTAAACTGGCTCCAGTCGCCCTTCTCCCTCAGGTTTTCATCTTCAGGCAGGAAGAGGCCTTTAGCTTTATCCATCACGGCAAGGCCTTCATCGCGGATTAACTTCCAGTTTCTCTCTAAGGACTAGAGGGAAGATTCTGGTTTTACTGGACTGAAAATACGCATGGTAGAACACCTAATAATGACCCTCAGCTTTTTGTTTGTTTGTCTGATTAATAAAGCAATGAAATTTTTGTTTTCATCTAGATTGTTTATTTCAATTTCTTCTAGGACCTCTTGTCAAGGGTGTAAAAAAAAAAAAAACCTAATATTATTTTTCAGAACCAAATGCCTCTGCAGCATAAACATTTCAATAATTTCTAGGAACCTCAGAGAATAATTCCCTCTATTACTTGTGTTTAGGTTTGCCTAACAGTTATTTATTTATTTACTTATTTATTTATATATCTATTTTTGCTGAGGAAGACTGGCCCTGAGCTAACATCCGTGCCCATCTTCCTCCACTTTATATGAGACGCCACCACACACGGCCTGACCAGCAGTGCATCAGTGTGCACCTGGGATCGGAACCCGGGCCGCCAGCAGCGGAGCGCGTGCACTTAACCACTACACCACAGGGCTGGCCCCTCTATCTTTTGAATTAGTCAAGCGAAGGCCCGATGACCAATTATTGGGTAGAGCAAAGCACAAAATAATGTGTCGAGGGTTCTTACCAACCCGTGCTTTATGAATTTGACTCAATGTGGGAGAAATGATAAGGAGCCAGGAAGACTGCACAGGCAGGGGACTCCATGAGAGACAGAGACCCTCGGAGATTTGTGTGAAAACATGGTGCCAGGGATTGGCCCTGTGGCCTAGTGATCAAGTTCAGCCTGCTCCGCTTTGGCGGCCTGGGTTCGGTTTCTGGGTGTAGACCTACACCACTTGTCAGCAGCCATGCTGTGGCGACGACCCATATACAAAATAGAGGAAGACTGGCACAGATGTTAGCTCAGGACCAATCTTCCTCAGCAAAAAAAAAAAAGGGGGGAAAAAAAAAACGGTGCCAACTTCAGTCAAATTCAGGGAACACTTTTTATATTGTGTGACATTTGGTTTATTAAAATATCCTAGGGTAAGAGAGAGATTTTAAGATTAGATATTGATTTTACACTTCTTTTTTCCCCTTATTTCTTTGAATCTATTGGTCTATTTCTTTATTTAATTTCAGCTTTATTGAGGTATAACTGACATAAAATTAAAAGATATTTGAAGTGTATATTGTGGTGATTTGATACATATATACACATTGTGAAAGGAATCCCCTCATCTGGTTAACACATTAATCACCTCACATATTTATCTTTTCTTTTTTGGTAGGAACATTTAAGTTCTACTCTCTTAGCAAATTTCAATTACATAATAGAGTTATCAGCTATAGTCATCATGTTCCACATTAGAGTCTCAGACTTTATTTATCTTATAGCTGAAAGTTTGTACCCTTTACCAACCTCTCCCTATTTCCCTCACCCCCCGGCAACCACTTTTCTACTCTTTGTTTCTGTGAGTCGACTTTCATTTTTTTTTAGTAGAGTCCACATGTGATACCATAGAGTATTTGTCTTTCTGTGTCTGGCTCATCTCACTTAGCGTAATGCCCTCAAGGTCCATCCATGTTGTTACAAATGGCAAGACTTCCTTTCTCATGGCTGAATGATATTCCAGTGTGTATGTGTATCTCACATCTTCTTTATCCATTCATTCATTGATGGACCTCCATATTGTTTTCCATGGTGGCTGTACCAATTTACTGATTTTATACTTCTATTTCTGTGAAACCTACCCACTGATCTCTGTCAAAATCTCCAGCTGCTCCTATCTTCACCCGGCTTTATACTGGTGCTGGTCATGTGTCCACAAATAATTTCAATATTACTTCATTCCAAGTAGGTAATTCGTAAACAATAAGTCAAAGACTGAATTTCAATAAAGAGATACTCGAAAGCCCTCACATTGTCAGGTCTCCAAAGTGAGAGAATACCATGGTTTTCTCAAGAATTCCAGGTTTATAGAAAAGAAAAAAATATACCTCAGATACTGACATCTTCTCAAATGCACCTAAATCGCCAACACTCCCCACGGCTATTGTAACGGGCTGAAGTTACTAGATAAATCTGTTAGATTCTTGTTGAACTGTCACAGAGACAAGGGGAGAATTACCTCTCTAACACATGAAATTACTTTTCAAATGAGGTTATTGGCGCCTTATACAGCAGGGTCTTCCCCTCTCGCCTCCTGGTATTTTAGAAATTTCTTTTAAAAGCTGATTTTAGGGGTATCTTTGGAAAGAGCTGATATTTTGTTACTAAAATAGGGCACAAAGCCCTAGGGAAAATATTAAACTAGACTGCATCACTAAATAAAATTTTAAAAATTTAACTTAAGAGCAGGCTGTCTTTCAAATATGAAATGTGGTCATTCCTGCCTCCCTCACCTCCTCTCCCCAGTGTCCCCCAGGGACGTGTTGTTGAGGTTCTTTTCCATGAGCAGTAATGATTTTTTTTGAACTTTTTTGTTTTCCCTTGTTAAACACGGCCCACAGGTATTGGATGACAGACTGGTGCTGAAAGGAGCAAACTGGTACAGGAGGGTCTCCCCAGTCCCAACTCGAAACACCCGTGCTACGGTGCCACAGACCTGCTCCATACTAACCAAGCACACAGAGGTTTTTAGTTTCTTTTCATTATAAAACAGCCACTCGTCATTTTCTCTTTTGAGTTCAATACTTTGTCATAGAATTTTACAACTGGAAGGATCTGCACCGTTAATCTAGTGGAAACTTTTTCGCTTTAGGGATGACAGAAGGACTTTGGAGTGGTTAATGAGCCTAACATTTCATAGTCTAGTGGTCAGCAGAGCTAGTGCCAGAAACCTGCTATGCCATCCCATCCCCCACTGATTATTCCTAAGGCACCTATGAAAGGAGACAGGGTCAGGCTGTGGTGGGCTCTGGGGTCCTGCCCCCCTCTGGAGCACAAGAGCGGCTGTGGGCTCTACAGTCTCCTGTGCAGTGATTTATGGGGCACCCGCGGGGCAGGGTACTTGCACGGCACTGTGCTCCCAACTGGGCACTGTGCATGCCTCAGAGAGTTCACATTCCTGACAACTGGGGAAACTGGGCTAACCAAAAGATCACACCGGTTAAACCTGGTGACATAATGACAAACACAAAGATAACAACAATGGAGATCTCCTACTTGTTCAACGTAAACATTTTTTCTACCAAAGCAATGACTGGGCTTGGGGGTGTTTTTCAACTTTGGAAAGACACGGCAGGGCAGGGTCTCTTTTATGGGCATTAGGGAGAAATCTGGATGGGACCTGGGAATGTTATTTTTTAAGCACAAACCAAGGAACTGCATGGTATAAAATTCACATGGTTACAGGGGATTAAAGACCAAACCTAATTACGTGTGTGTGTGTGTGTGTGTGTGTGTGTGTGTGAGAGAGAGAGAGAGATAGAGAGAAAAGAGATGAATTTTCTCTACAGTAATATTATTCAGTTGTCTGAGATGGCAAAGAATTCCATTTATTAGGAAATTCTAACAGGCACTTGAAGGCTCATATAGAGCAGGCCATGCCTACATTTTTAAAGGTCTCATCTGAAATATTACTTCCTTGACCCTAAATTCATCCATTTCATAAAACTGAAAAGAGAAACTTCTGGTTGCCCAGAAGACAAGAGCTTCAAATTCACATTTCTTCTTCTGGCTACACAGACGTTAGAAAACAGAGATTTGATTATTTTCACTGTGCCACACGGCTTCAGAAACCCATCTGCGGCACTTGCCTTTCGAGCTAAACCTCGGCTATATTTGGCACTCTAGTCAACTATAAGTGGACTTCCCAGGTTCAAGCCTCATGAATCCCACAGTCCACTTCAGCTCTCTTTAATCCAAATCCTCATCCAGTTCTTTCCTCACTTCCCAGATGTTTTCATCACCCCATACGGATGGTGCACTTTTCAAAGTCAAATTAGATTAAGTCCTATGTTAAAGTCTTCTCCTAAAACCGATTACTTGCAGAAAGTCTTTAGAGAGGCAAAGTCAAACTAATTCTTATTTAATGATTTCCTGTACTGTTTTCATTCAATTAAAAAATACACATTTTTTTAAGTCAAATATTACTACAGGTCTTATAATGAAAGCAGCAATCTTTTACTCAACTCTTCCCTGGTCCTGGGTCCAACCCCCAGCTAATTCCTTTAAATATTTTTTCTGACATTTACCTGCTTACACCTAAATAATATGTTAATATTGCTATTTCTTGATTCTAGACATTGTCACTCATCTTTCTATTAGGGAAGGGAACAAGTTAGCAATTTGATGTCTTCTGTCTGCTCTTCTCCGTCTTGCAATACAATTAATTTCACAAATCTTTCATCCGTCTGGGTGAATTCACATTCGGGTTTTAGAATATTACGACAGTGCGGTATGATTCACACTTGAGTTGTATTGTAATGATTACACTTCATTTCACGTGCAGTATTTTCTTTCTGCCACCTTTTCTCTGGCTTCATTTTCTAATGCACTTATCACTGTTTCTTCTTTATAGCACTGAAAGAGGGCTAAAAAATCTCTTGATACTATTCTACCCTTTGCCAAAAACATCATATAAGTTATTTCTTTCTTTCTTTCTCTCTTCTTCTGAAGCAGCAGCCATCTGTCACCAGAAAACTTCCCTTGGCCTCTGCTGGGTTTGGGGCTCCCTAATTATTGGATTCTAGTTGTTCCTGAGAAAGGACACAGCACAGATAAAATCGAATTTCTGAAAATATCTGAAGCCATTCTGACACTTGACTGAAGGCTTGGCTATGTACAGAATTCTACATAGTAAATAATTTCTCCTTAGAATTTTGAAAGCATTGCTCCCTTGCATTATAACTTTAAGTGTTACTGTTGGAAAATCTGATACCTTTTGGATTCCTGTTTTTTTTCTTTGTTCCCCCTAGAAGCTTTATAAAAGTCAGTATAGTGTAGTGGTTAGGGCTATAAAATCTGTAGCCAGAGTCCCTGGTTTGGAAATCTGACTCTGCCACTTACTAGCTGTGTTATATCAAGCAAGTTACTTAACCACTCTGTGCC